TCTTCTTAACCTTCCCACGCTCCTGCTGGGGGCTAAGGAAATGCTTATCTCCCCAAGCGCGACCTTCATCAAACCATTCCATCACAGTTATCACCTTTAAAGCCCTACATGGCATGGGACTGGGTTACCTGAGGGACTGACTCACCCCCATTATATCGATCCATGCCACCTGGTCAAGCAGAGAGGGTATGCCGTGGACCCCGTTGATGAAAAAATGTCGACTGGTGGGGTCCAGAAGGAGAGCCTTCTCTGCCGTGGCCCCTGCCCTATGGAATACCTTCCCCCCAGAGGTGAGGCAGGCCCCTAATCTCTTGACCTTCCTGAAAGTGGTTAAGACCTGGCTCTGCCAACTTCCATGGGGCGGGAAAAGGGGCAACCAATCCTGAGGGTGGCTAGCACCTTGAAGATGCTCCTGTACGTTAATATCCTTTCTACCAGCAGCACCTTGGAAGATATTATTATTTATGTAGGAATATGCTTTTGTTGTATTTTAATTGTATTTTAATTAATATTTATTTTTTGTTTTTACTGTAAACCGCCCAGAGTCACTTCCTCGTGAGAGGGGCGGTGACCAAATTTGAAAGACGAATAAATAAACACATAAAAGCAAATATCTCTAAGAAACAGGTAAAGCCGTCCATCAGAAGCCAGGATGGTGCATCATGATGTCATCATGTTGCAAATGATGTAATGAGTGCATCACTCATTACATCATGATGCAAATGATGTAATGAGTGTCAAACACTGTGATATCGCTTGCCCGCCCATGTCCCCTTGACACGGGGCTTCTACCAGATATCTCTGCCTCCATTATAAGCTGCTTCTCAGTGAAGAATTCCTTTCTTTTTAATATCCTGATTTTATTACAAATTGATTCCATTGTGCAAATCCAAGTTTTATCCCTGTCTTTTCTCCCACTCTCTTGTTCATTCGTATTTTCATGTATCTCTGCCATAGTGTTTCCCAACCTTGGCAACTTGAAGATGTGTGGACTTCAACTCCCAGAATTCCTGGCTGGGGAATTCTGGGTGTTGAAGTCCACACGTCTTCAAGTTGCTAAGGTTGAGAAACACTGCTCTGCCATATTGATTTAAGCCCCATCTCACATCTCAGATGGACATTAATTTATGACTTCAATTATCTGGTTCCTGGTGAGCTGAAGACCCTATAATATTTCCAGGGAAAAATAACCAAAGGAATACTGCACACTGATAAATTAGCCCAACATCCTCAGTTGGTTGTTGGTTATTGGTTATTCCCAGATAGCATGGCCAAAAGGAAATGGCTAGAGCTACTACATCTGGGTTGCAAAAAATCCAGATTTGACAGCTACTGGATCTGACAGCTAAAAGGTTTTCTATATCCACCTGCTGACATCTAGTGGTGATGCAGACTTTTGCAACCCAGATATGGGAGCTCTAGAGGTTATAGTCCCAACACAGCTGGACAGCATCTGGTTGGGAAAGGCTGGCTCAGTCAATTAAAAAGATGTTTAATCAGGTAAAGAGTAAATAAAATTCAGTCACAAATAAAGGAATGTTGTGATCTTAGGGGAAGTAGTTCTCCATTCATTTTCATAAGGGAAAAAAAGCGTAATCTATCACACTTGTGCGTTGACATTCACTACGGAAAAATTAAAAAGCCTACCATTTTTAATCTAGTGTTTTTCTCAGAAGAAAACTGATATGGAAGTAATCAATTTCAGACACTGATGAAACTCGTCCGATGACAAGGAAGCAGTCTGAATTCTCTGTCAAAAGATCTACTCTGCATTCCCCAGATCCTTTCTTTTTGAGAGGACCTGCCTGATGCCCACCACCCAGTCCACCTCCACCAACCTTCCAGGTCGAGCTTCACCATTCCAGCATCATCTTCCAGTTCGTTGGTCACCTCACACTCATAGCGCCCGTAATCCTGAAGAGTGACATTCCGGATGATGAGTGAGGCGTCACTGGGTCCATCCTCCTGCAGGGTGGTTCGGCCCCGGTAGTTCCCAAAGGCTCTGCGCTCCTTCCCCATTGCCACAAAGACATCCCCAAATGACATGGGCTCTACCATCTTGGTCCACTTCAAGCGGATCTCATCGGGGTCATGGGCCGACACATCGTAGTGGAAGCGACAAGGCAAGATGATGGTGCCCCCACGGTGGGTGACCACCTTCCCAGGTGCTGTCTGAACCACAACAGCACCACTGTCATCCTCTGCAAACAGAAACAGAGATCTTGAGCTTCATTTCAAATCTAGAACAGGGAAAGACCACTCTGACTTGAGTGGTCAAGTGGTACAGATGTGTTTGTGGGTTGCGACAGCGATGCCTTTTTGGGTGGGTCAGGTATGAATATTAGATTTCAGTTCTTCCAAGCTAATCAGTTGATTGTTTGGCCCAGAGTCTAAACCAGTGTTTCTCAACCTTGGGAACTTTAAGATGTGTGGACTTCAACTCCCAGAATTCCCCAGCCAG